GTGTCGGTTTGAATACGAGGGACGGACAGACAAATGCGAGGACATCAATAAGCCCAACACGGCTTAGCTGACTCCGGGGCCTGAATTGATTTCTGAACTGCTGATAGCCGACGACTGCTCGCCGCAGTCGGACATGGCAGCTCATGTGGAAACGGGGCAACAAATTGATATTTTTTTGCCGGGGAACGCAAATAATGTGGAATGTTTGCGGAGTGGATCGGATGAATTATTTAAATTTGATTGATCATGTCATGTGCATAAATTTAGGTAGTCGACGATATAATGGTCATATAATTACTTTCCGACATGCACCACGAGTCATCATTCTAATCGGGACACCTCATCGCTTTGGACGTGGCGCGATTGACGCGTGCATCATTTATTTTTGAATTGTTCGAACGAACACAGTTCGTGTTTATTGTTTCACCTGCAAAAACCCGTACTCTTTTCGGATTAAGAACGTTGTTATTTATTGGGTTAGTGAAAATCGGAAAACCGAATTAAGCTCCACGTTGTCTGCACTACGACTTGCATTTGTGCATCGTTTACCAGCGGACCATAAAAATCCATCGAACGACGGCTACGTTGCAGAAAGCGCGGTTTTTAAGCACGACTGGTCGCAAAACAAAATTCCATTGATTTAACACGCCAGATGCATTGAATTATTTCCTCTTTCGAGCGGAATTAATTTTAAGCCGCTTTAAACTCACCATCTCTTTAAATTTAGTAGCAACGGCTAATGACGAAAATCAAAAACATTCCTCCGACCGGAAGCCCATGAAAGCACTTTCCGAGAAGGCGCCGAATTCGTTTTAAAAATACGATTGTAGCGAGACTCCCAATTATGTACCAGTGAATTAACAGACACTTGTGCATGCCGATCAGTTAAGCATCTGTTTTAGACGTCTTTGTGCAGCTAAAATTAGAGTCGGTTTGAATACGGTATTGAGTGCGTCTGCTAAGAATGTCTTAAAACTAACCAAGCGCGCATAGTTTGTGGGTACTACAGTTATGCGAAGCTCGATGCAACAATTTAGCCTCGGGTGATGAGTAGAGAAGATTAATAAACCTGAGTGCAGGGGGCTCTTCGAATAACATGCATAACTGCACACCGTCGCTAATGTAGTTGAGCGTCTTTGCCACTTGGACGCTTAATTCGCATCAGGAGCGGGATGAGCGCGGAATTGGTGGAGAGATTAAGTAAATACGGAAATAATGTTGGTATTGGTGAGCGGATTTTACATTAGGGTTTTTTTTTACCATCAATTAGAGTTATTACAGTCGCCCCCGAGTATGTCGATTTGCGAAAATGGAATCAGTCTGTGATTGCTTACCAATTAGTCGTTCCTAGTGGTCTCTAGGAGGAGGTGCGGACCCGCCAGGTCCGCAAATCTCATCAAGTCGTAAACCCGAATCGCCGTCTTCGCAGGACGTATTATAAGATACCGTCCGCATTCTGCGCCGTAATTTTTGCCCTCGTATTTGCAAGCCTTTGGAAGGATCCTGTCAGCGAGCAATCAGTCTAGTGGACAGTGTTATCAGCCTCGGAACACATTCCATATTTCTCTGCCCGAAGCGATAACCGTTCTTAGCCTTTACGCTTCGTCCTTTCGCCTTATTTTTCTTGCTTTCATCCAGTGTGTTCGTCGTGGCGGAAATTGACTGGATCCTGGCTCGTCCGGCTTATTTAAATACAAATCATTTCGGTAATCCACGGCGAGAGCGTCAAATCCATCTTGTGTAGTCGCGAATCCATTACCGTCGCCGTAAACGGCGAGTGCCACATTAAAACAGCGCACGTTTTAAAACGGCATAAAGCCGTTATTGCCAACTTATAACTAGCGACCCTTAATCACGCCGCCCCAAGGTGGCGGCGCTCCTCGGATCGATTTTACCCTTGTCGTATTTAAGAACGATGAAGACGTAAAACTAAGCCCCATTTGTATAACTGGTTGCCTATGCGACATGGGTTATTATCGCGCAAAAAATCTCTTTTCGCAACGTTGGCAATATCGCGTATTGCTAAATTGGATGTTTTCCTCCCGCGCAACAATATTGCAAAAATATTTTCGCGTGAGTCACTTTCATTCGCGCGTGGCGGAAGCGCGACTTTGTCTCGATTATTTTTAAGGTGGGACGAAGGCGCCATTTGTTGCCCTAAATGCAATCAGCAATTATTGCCAAAATTTACCTGAGCTTATTATTATTACATGATCGTTTTCCGGGTTGGAATCGTGTAAATTGAGTTTTTGCGTACATTTTCGTAAGTGGCATCTTCAGGAGCAGGGTTAAGAATAAGGGAAAAGAGCACGGTAACTCAGTATGTCAACCATACTAGCGGCGAAACTCAAACTCCTGAAGATGCCACTTACGAAAGTGTGAGAAACGTTGAGCCCAAAAACTCAATTTACGCGGTTCCAACCCGGAAAACGATCATGTATTGATTTTGCCCGTGGAAGCCTCCGAAATTATTTCCAAAACTTATTATTATTTCATAACTAAATTTAATCTACCAGTTTCTAATATAATAATGGACACAATAGCATTAATTTATGATATATTTTGAATAAATTGTACTACTAACAAATATTTAGTATGACAGGGGTCTTTAAAATACGTTATTTTGTCAGTGTAAAGCTGGAAGCGGCATTTTGACGCATAGTACCTGTATTAATATCGTTTTATCATAGAAAAAAGGAAAAAATGTTATACCTCCTCCAGCGAGTCCCTTAAGTTGCGGATCGGCGAGCTCTGACCCGTTGTTTGGTTATGTTCGGGAGATGTTTTGAATATTTATACGTGGGAATATTCCGAGTAATCGGCGTCTCCGCTTTCTGCTAAATCTTCGGCTTTCGCGGCGTAACGAAGAGTACTTACAGTTTTAAGAGGAATAAGGCCGCGAATTCATTTTCATATAGCACCTATTTACGCATAATCTCGGGAAAGAGGCATTTTTGGATGATCTGCCTTGTCGCATTTTGATTTGCGGCGGAATAGGGGAATTGTGGCGCTATTTTTAGAATTCCGCCAGAAGGTAGCGAATGTGGTTAGGAGCTTATTTTACGCCGGTTAAGCTCGAACTCGTTTATGACGACGTCACGTCGCTACTACCCGAAACCGGTTAATAAATACACGGAATGCAAAAACAGGGTTTGACCACGACGAAAATAGCGGCTTTTGTGACGAAGCAACAAAACGCGAAAATTAATTCATATCGGAAAGTGCGCACACCTATCGCAAGATGCGATGCGTCCGTCGGACTTGTCGCATTAAGTTCAGTTGCAGCCTTCTGGTTTTATGTCGATTCGGAAATGAAATTTCTCAAGTCACTTTGTATCACAAAGTGCCTTACCTTGACCAAAAGCGCACAAACGTTGTCCTGGGACGTGGAAGTCCGCATCGAACGATTCAATTACGGCGGTTTGAATTTTATATTTCTCGATTTTAAATCGAGGTCAGGGCGGGCAGAATTCGCTTAACAAGTCAAACAGCAAAGTAATTTGCTCTGTCTTTATTTTAACAGAGATTATACGCGAAGATCCGAAACTTGTCGGATTTGAATTTTTCCCCGTCGAACTTTGATTGTGTTTTCTGCAGGCGGAGTTTGTCTAACTCAGTTTTTGCCTTTTTGGACGTATCAGATGAAGATACTTTCGGCGAACTTTAAGAGGTTTAGTCGCGAGAATTATGCACTTGCTAATAGCTTTTCATTTTTTGCCGTGCGACGACGGCAATTAAGTTAAGAGAGTCGACAACCCGGACGAAATCGCGCTTTGTCGTCAAAGAGGATTATTTCATTATGAGAGTGGCTTACGGATAATGGCGGGATAAGTGTAGTTTTGATTGGAGTTCGTAAGTACGTTTTTGTGCGAGGTTTTGACAAGATTTTCAGGCTCGGGGCTGCGTTAAACGACAACGAATTAAAAAACTTAATTGTTGCGATGACTTTTCATAAAATCGCGAGACACAAGTATTCTAGTGTTTATTAAGTTTCATAAAGCAGAGTTATTAAAAGTTTTACCGGGAGAAGTATAACTTGAAACGAACCGGAGCTCTCGTTTGCACTTCTTTTAATAAAACTTGTTTCGAATCCGAAACAAATGTCTCGGCGATTGTGTTCGAAGTAATGTAGAATTTTTAATGAAGGTACCCTGCTGATCGGTCGCAACACGGTTATGATTGTCTCTTATTAAGACAGCGCTTTATTAATAGTTTCATTGTGTACACAATTTTCAGTTTGTCTATCGAATTGCGACTTTTTGTTTGATATTTTACCTCACCTGTTTCAATTTATCGGAAAATTTACAGGGTTTTTACAATTACGTGCAAAAAACTCATTTTGTGTCAACGGCGCTTTGTGTATTAGCGTCGATTTGACGAAAAGCTAATTTCATGCTTCCTGAGTTTCACGGCTTCCGGTTTCCGTCAGTTTGTCCGTTGACGATCCATTGGACAGATAACAAAATTTGGTCAAGCGATTCTTGTGAACTTTTTTCTGTGAATACCTTGAGTGTAGGTGTTTACGTATTCATCCTCTCCGGAAAGCTGATGACGTCACTTCAAAGAAATGATCGAGTAAAATTTGCTCAAAGAGAAGGTTTCGTGTGACTAATTGTGTATTTTTTTGCGCGTCGGTGTATTTTCGGGTTTCCACATCCGCCAGATGTGTTCCTTGGAACATCACCTTTTGCGCACCACCTTCCTCTCGCCCAAAGAATTTCCAAAACCAAAAGCTCGCACAAAGCGCTCTTATTAGCGCAATTACAGCAACCCGTAGATACTCCGAATATTTATACTCGAGCAAACATTCCACTCGTTTCAGCTTCGCCGTAGCTAAGCCTCCGAGGGTAAATAGTGCGCTCGTATTTATAAAGTTCTATTTAGCACCTATTTATAAACCGGCAACAATCCCCGACGTACGCCCGAATATTTACTCGTCCAAAATATCCCGAAATAGCGGCGAGTCACGTGCGGTATTGCACCGTTCGGATTTCGGAGGCTCGACATTTCAGTCTTCGCTCGCCTTCCTCGGATAGATAAATCCGGTGATGTGATAATGACGCGTCTGATAAGGTCCGCGGGTGCGAAAGCGCTTGAGGTTGGTGCGTGAATGTGCGTGATAAGTGATCGATCGGGAGCGGCGATGCACAAAAAATGACGTACATAACGGCCGCCCTTACCATCGTCGTCACGTTAGCCTGGTGCAGGGGGGACTACGCCACCACCTACGTCAAGGAGAACACCTCCGTCGTGACCTTGAAGCAGGGGCGCGTGAAGGGGGTGGTCGTGGCGTTCCGTACCAACCACAAACTGCCGCCGGTTAGTGGGACATATGTCGAAATTGGGACGGGGTGGAGGCTGTGGTGGTCAAAAGTCGCGGTAGTGAAGGTCCCGCTGACGGCCAAGATGTGTCCCGAGTTTCATGAAGATTTACTATAGTTTTTGTTTCCCAAAAAAATCGATAACAAAAAGAAAAAAAAAACTAATATGTATAAGTAGTTATCAAATTTACGTTATATCGTCCACACCAATTGGTGGTCCCTCTACTCAAAATGTGTACGTGGTCATTATATTTAGCTTCTTGGAACCTTTTTCCACTTATTTTCTTAACGATTTCATGGTATATTTCTGAAGATGTGATTGAAGTTTGTTATTGTCTAGTTTGACGCAAAAATGTGTGCACGCCTGAATGTTTCAGGTATTTTTAAACAAACCCTTGATGTGCTATTGTTTTTGAGTGTTAGAGAAATTTCCAAATAAACGGAGATTAATTTGATGCCCTCGGAATGCGATGCTTTTCGTGTTACTGTCGCTGTCAGTTTCACGGGATATCGAACCAAAACAAAAACGGTGGCAAGATTTATTATAAAACGCACATTGCTCTAGTTGAAATTGTATTTTTTGTTTAAATTCTTGTAGTAGGCAGCTTAGAATTTTGTTGAAAATAATCGTTGCCAGTATTAATAAGGTCAACAAAATTTGTTGTTGGAACGAAAATAAATGTGTTTGATTTTCACATTTTGAAAAAAATTGGAGCTCCTAAATGAAAATTTTAACATAGCCTGCCACTAAAGCAACTCTATTCAGTTTTCGCGATTGCTTTATTAATTTCATAAATATGGAAAGTTACGCGGTTAATTACAAACTTTGTACCTTAATAGCTAAAGTTTCGATATTTAAAGATCGAAACTTGACGCCTAATCTTTCAATTATGTATTTTAGAAAACAGAAATTTGTCTTCAGAAATGAAATGGTGGTTTCGAAATTAAAAGCATCGATATTTCTAGAATTAAAATATTTGCACCCACAATGTACTATTAATTTTTACTTTTCGAGCATAAGCTAAGGAAGTATTGTAATCGAGTTCATCGGCCGACTGACTAAGAGCATGTTTTCATGACCCCTAGACTACGAAAAAATAGGTCACTAATTTTTGTCAAATTTTAAATGTTTGTTAGGAAAATCATGTAAATGGTGAAACGTTAACCAAAATTTGTCTGCTCGTCTCAGCAACACTGAAATGACGTCATGTCCAAATTTTACAAAAGTTAAGTGTTATTTAAATTTTATAAAATAACGTACTTCTCGATTTGTGGTTTATGAACCCGTGTTGCGTTTTTATCGTAGATATTTATATTTTGGAAAAAAGCCAGAATTGTAGGTATAAAAAATTGTCGATGTTCCAATTCTTTAAATTCTTCGTGTTCCGGCTTTTCCATTTTTTGATATTTTAGTTCTGGGATTTTTATATTCTTCAGTTTTTCGAATTTTCAGTTTCTCGGTTTTCAATTTTTGATCACTAAATTTCTTCATTCTTCAAGTTCTCCGTTTCTCGATTTCTTCATTTTTCGATTTCTCAATTTCTCGATTAAACATTTCGATTTTTCAGTTTTTCAATTCTTCAGTTTTTCGATTTTTCAAGTTTCAGGTTTGTAATTTTTCAATGTTTCGATTTTTCCAGTTTCAGATGTCTCAGTTTTTCTTCCAATTCCCAATTTTTCGATATTTCACTTTTGGTAGTTTTCAGTACTCCGATTCTTCAGTTTTTCTATTTTTTGACATTTTGATTCGATTTCTTGATTTTCGGATTTTTCAGTTCTTCGCTTTTTTCGGTTTTCAATTTTTCGATTTTTAAAATTGTTCGACTTTTAAATTTCTCGTTTTTTTTATTTTAAATTTTTCGAGTTTTCAATGTTTCCACTTCTCGATTTTTCGATTTCTCGAACTTTTGATGTTTCGATTTCTAGATGTGTCAGTTTTTGAATTTTTCGATAATTCGGTTTTTCGATTTTTTATCGTAGACATTGATATTTTGAAAAAAAAAGTTAGAATTATTCATATAAAAATTTTTGGATGTCTCAATTTTTCAAATTTTTGGTGTTTCGGCTTTTCGATTTTCCGATATTTCAGTTATGGGATTTTTAATTTTGAGATTTTTCAGTTTTTTATTCTTCTGTTTTTCGAGTTTTCAGTTTCTGGATTTTCGATCACTCAATTTCTTCATTCTTCAAATTTTCGGTTTTTCGATTTCTTCATTTTTCGATTCCTCAATTTTCCGATGTTTCAATTTTACGATTTTTCGACTTCTGAATTTCTCGATTAGTTGATTTTTGATTTTCCTATTTCTCGATTTCTCGACTCCTCATGGTTTCGATTTTTCTGTTTTTCAGTTCTTCAATTTTTCGATTTTTTAATTTTCAGGTTTTTGTTCTTTCAATGTTTCGATTTTTCCACTTTCCGATTTCTCAAATTTAAGATGTTTCATTTTCGGGAGGAAAAACTGAAGAAACCAAAAATTTTCCAATTTTTCTATTTTTGGGTTTTTCAGTTTTCCTTCCAATTTCCAACTTTTCGACTTTTTGATTTCTCAAATTTTTATTTTTCCGTATTTGGGATTTTTCGATTCGATTTCTTAATTTTTAGATTTTTCAGTTCTTCGTTTTTCGTCTTTTCGCTTTTAAATTTTTCTGTTTTTCCATTTTTCAATTTTTAGAATCTTTAGAATTTTCGATCTTTCAATTTTTCGGTTTTTTAAATTTCTCGATTCTTTTTATTTAAAATTTTTCATTCAATTTTTAACTTTTCGAATTTTCGATTTTGTCTTATTTCGATTTCTCAATTTTTCAAGATATCGACTTCTCGATTTTTCGATTTCTCAATCTTTTGATATTTCGTTTTCTAGATATTTCAGATTTTGAATTTTTCGAGAATTCGGTTTTACGATTTTTCGACATTTTGATTTTCTGATTTTATGACATCTGGATTTTTTTGTTTTTCCACTTTTCAGCATTCTGATTTTCCATTTTTTTCTTTTTTTTCAGTTTTTCTATGTTCCAATTTCTCGAATTTCAATTTTTCGATTATTCAATTTCTCGATTTTTCAAATTTTCGATTTCTCGATTTCGCAATTTTCCGATGTTTCAGTTTTATGATTTCTCAATTTTTAACGTTTCTAATTATTCAATTTCTCCTATTCTAAATTCAATAAAATAAAATAAAATTGAATTAAATAAAAATATAAAAAATCTCAATTTCTGGATTAATTGATTTTTGATTTTCCCAATTTTTTCAATTTCTCGACTACTCAAGATTTCGATTTTTCAACTTTTAGATATCTCCATTTTTTGCTTTTCGATTTTTCAAATTTTATATTTTACATTTTTCAATTTTTTCGATTTTTTGATGTTTGGATTTCTTGATTTTTGGAATTTTTGGTTCTTCGATTTCCAGTTTGTAGAATTTTTGAATTTTCGGTTTTTCAATTTTTCGATTTTTAACAATTTTAAAATTTTCGATCTTTCAATTTTTCGGTTTTTAAATTTCTCGATTTTTTTTTATTTAAACTTTTTTAATTTTTAAATTTATAACTTTTCGAATTTGCGATTTTGAAGTTTTTCGATGTTTCAGTTTTACGATTTTTCGATTTTTGACGTTGAAATTATTCAATTTTTCAATTTCTCAATTCCTAGATTAATTATTTTTGACTTTCCCATTTCTCGTTTTCTCCACTACTCTATCAAGGTTTCGATTTTTCACTTTTTCGATTTTTCAATTTTTGGGATTTTCCAATTTTTTGATTCATCAACAATTTTTTTCCATTTTCCGATTCTTCAAATTTCTATTTTTCGACTTTTCGATTTCTCCAATTTTTACTTTTTCGGTTTTTCAATTTTTCGATTTGTAAAATTTTCGATTTTTCGGTTTTTAAATCTCTCAGTTTTCGTTTTCTCGATCCTTTGGTGTTTCAATTTCCAGAGGTTTCAGTTTTTGAATTTTTTGATGTTTCGACATCTCGGCTTTTTGATTTTGCGATTTTCCAAATTTTCGATGTTTAGAATTTTTGGTTTTTCCATTTTTCAATTTTTCGATTTTTGATTTCTCAATTTCTTGATTTATCAAAATTTGTCGATTGTTCGATGTTTCGATATTTCGAATTTTCAGTTTTTCTATTTTGCGAAAAGCATTTTTCCCCTTTGGTTATCTGCTTTAAATATATTTCTCACTTGTACTTGCTGCACTTCAGGGACGAGGAAAGTTCTATCGAAATAACGTTCGATCAATTTTTATTTACAGGATTACTAAAATTATAAATTCAAAGAATCATCACAATGAAACTCCAGCTGCGTAACGTAAAATCCCGAACTTTAACCTTTCATTCCTTCACACAGACAAAAAGCATTGCGTTGTCACCTGTTAGCTTCCAAAATTCACATATCAAAATTGCGTAAATTAAATCTGAAACTTGAGTCTTAAATTTTCACGTTATTCAGAGCTGAAAGCGGCGTGAAAACGACTTGACTCTTAGGTGACTCAATCCTACTTCACAAATAAAGAATAAGTTATGTTCCTTCCAGACAGGCTTTTAAAGATATTTATAAATATTCCTCACAAGCATTCCTTTGAATTTAATTTACTGGTAAAGCTAAATTCGCTGGTAAATTTAATTTAAAAAAGAATTGCAAAAAACGCGCTGTAATATGAAAAATATCCCTGAAACAAGATGTAATTTATGCTTTAGAAATACTCAGTATGCTCAGTATACTACATTATAATTACTATTGTAAAAAGATAAAGTTCCAACCATTCACTATTCAATTAAATAAACAACAGAATTGAAAGAGATATCTACGATTTATACGATTCCAAACATTTATCATCTGCTGCCAAAGAAAATTAATACATTAATAATGTATTATTGTTTATAATGTTCAGTTAACATTAATAATTACACTGTTGAACCGAATTTCATTTTCACAGTAAAGGTTTACAAAGGATTTACAGTACTGACTAAACTGTTTAACAAATATACATGGTAAACATATTTGAAATGAGGGTAATTACTAATTAGATACACAGATACAATATAAATAACAGTTTCGTTGGTTAAATGATTAAAGCTAACAATACTTACAGGCAAAAAACACAATACAATATAAACTTCTGTATCTGTTATTAACTTATTAAATAATAATAAATATTTCCCAAGAGTTTACGTTTCGTAAAAAACCGGTAATTAGTGTTTCTATTACCTAATGTATGTGCATTAATAGCCACTATTATAATCATGTTCTAATTATCTGGAGCGAAAGTGTACTACGTCGATCACATTAGTTTCCATAATTACGTGTCACTCAAAGGGCACACAGGCACAAGTGGGACCACACATAAAGGGCTAATCATTTCAATTATCGCGTTTACTTCCATATACTTATACCTCGAGTAATCCTAACTGAGAGCAAATAAAGCAAGCGACCACTCGGCCCCCGCCTTACCTAAAAATTTCATTACTCTGGGAATTTATTCCCCGATTTGCCTCTACCAGGTGGAGCAGTACAAAGGGATCCCCTACGCCGAGCCGCCTGTGGGAGAGTTCAGATTTATGCCTCCGGGCAGCGCTCCGGGCTGGGGGAGCAGCATCAAGTACGCCAACACGTTCGGACCCGTCTGCCCCCAAAGGTTTCCAGACACCCGCAAGATGACACCCGAGCGAAGGGCGGAATTCTTCAGACACCAGCAATACTTGAGACACCAGAGCGAGGACTGTCTCTACTTGAATATTTACGCGCCGTACAGGGGTAAGGCAACGCCGGCGGTAATAAGCGAGGCTCGGATTTACACGAGAAAATTCCCTCCTGCAGGAATTTTCTGCGATTTTTAAGTTACGGGATCAGGATTTTATTTGTGCGGTAGTCGGCGGAAGCGAAACCGACGTTATTGCTTGCGAAGAACACGTGAACGCGTTGGTTTGTCTTTTCGAGGAAGCGCGATGCGCACGAGTTTCCCTCTGGTGGTGAAATAAATTTTGATTGATTGCGGTAATGATGATTACGGTGGCTTGTTCATGATTTATTAATTCTTAGAGGGGTTGAGTGCAAATTCGGATTCTTATGATGATTTACAGGGTGGGGGTGTGAAGGTAGAGAAAAGCCGGGGAAAGTTTGAGTTGTGGCGGAAGTTTCTTTGGTCGGAGGAAGATTTCGAGTTCTTTTAATAGTTGAAAAGTAAACAGATTAGAGTGATTCAGAACTGGGTTCTGTGGGTCGTGGAAAGGTTGGAAGTAAGACATTTGGCGCGAATTTTATTTGGTTGAGAGTAATTTCTGTTTGTTGACCTTTCATAGTGAGATATGTGTGATATTCTGCCAGGATTTGCGTAGAGACGCGACGTTGGCAAGTGGAGCGAAACTCCCGAGGTTCTTGCCAGAGCGGTTGCACTCACGTTTAGCAAAATTTTCTATCTCTTTTTTCGGTCACGTTTACAAGTTTACTTGGAACTGAGACACTTAAAAATTTCAAAATTAAGAGGAATACAAGATAGAAGATTCATATGTAGTGTGACAACTTTATTTTTGTACACTGATAAAATTTTAGAACCTGAAAGTTACCGAATCAAAGGTCCAATCGTAAACCATAAGCTGCAGAGTCGCAGTCTAAGATTGGCGGTAGTCAAACACCGAACGCAACCGTATTTCGTCTACGATGTAATGATTTTAAATACAATGACAGTTACTTCTTATTTATGACCCATAACATTCCTTCACATTCTTCATTTTTTTGGTTTCTTCAGTTTTCTAAATTTAAAATTTTTCAATTTTTAGATTTTTCAATTTTAATTTTTTGATTTTTCCTTTTTTGGAATTTTAATTGATTTTCGATTTTCCCATTTATCGATTTATCGACTGCTCAAAGTTTCGATTTTTCACTTTTTCAATGCTTCCATTTTTTGTTTTTCGATTTTCAGGTTTTTGATTTTTTGTTTTTTCGATTTTTAGACTTTTCAATTTCTCGGTTTTGCCATGTTTCATTTTTGGGATTTTTCAATTTTTGGATTCTTCGATTTGTCTTTTTCCAATTTTTCCAATTTTTTGGTATTACGATTTTTCAATTTTGATGTTTCGATTCCTCGATTTTTCACTTCTTCGATTTCGGTTTTGTCAAATTTTTAAATTTTCGATTTTTCTGTTTTTTGATGTGGTCGGTTTTTCAATTTTTTGATTTTTAAATGTTTGATTTCTCGATCTTTCAATTTTTCCGTTTTTCAATTTCTCTTTTTTTTCATTTTAAAATTTTCCTTTTTTCAATTTTTAACTTTTCGAATTTTCGCCTTTGATCTATTTCGATTTCTCAATTTTTCGATGTTCCAGTTTTACGATTTTTCGATTTTTCAGTTTTGGGATTTTTTGTTTTTTTGTTCTTCAATTTTTCCAGTTTTCAATTTCTCTATTTTTGAATTTCCCGATTTTCAATTTTTCCATCACTCAATTTCTCCATTTTGCAAATTTTCCGTTTCTCGATTTCTTCATTTTTCGATTTCCCAAATTTCCGAAGTTCCAGTTTTACAATTTTTGAATTTTTCAATTTTTGACGTTTCTAATTTAATTATACAAGTTTCAATTTCTCGATTAATTAATTTTTGATTTTCCCAGTTCTCGATTTTTCTACTATTCAAGGTTTCTATTTTTCAGTTTTTCATTTCTTCAATTTTTCGTTTGTTAAATTTTCAGGTTTTTGAGTTTTCAATATTTCGATTTTTCCACTTTCCGATTTCTCAATTTTTCGATGTTTCATTTTTGGGATTTTTCAGTTTTTGGATTCTTCAATTTCTCTTCGATTTTCCAATTTTTTGATGCTTCACTTTTGGGAGTTTTCAGTATACCGATTGTTCAAATTTTCTATTTTTCGACTTTTAGATTTTTCCAATTTTTACTTTTTCGATTTTTCAATTTTTATAATTCAAATTTTTCAATTTTAGAGTTTTTGATGTTTCGATTTCTCGATTTTTCAATTTTTTGGTTCTTCGATTTTCAATTTGTTGAATTTTTAAATTTTAGATTTTTCAGTTTTTTAATTTTTAGATATCTGGATGCTTCTATTTTTGATTTTTCAATTTTTAACTTTACAAATTATTCCTTTTTCGACTTCTCAATTTCTCGATTTTTCAATTTTTAACTTTTCGAATTTTCGATTTTGACCTGTTTCGATTTCCCAATTTTTCTATTTCTCGACTTTTTGGCTTTTCAATTTTCCAATTTTTCTATGTTTAGATTTTTTTCAATTAAGTAATCGATTTTTCATTTATCAATTAGTCAATTTTTCAATCTTAAATTTTCAAATGTTTCGTTTTTTCAATTTTAGATTTGTAATTTTTCTCATTTTCATTTTAAATAACTAATTTAAAAATTTTTTAATTTCAATCGAAAACGTACAAAATCGAAAAAACTTAATATGAATGCAAAATCAAAATATTGAAAATGAAAAAAATCGGAAATCCGATAACTGGAAACTAAAAACTGCAGAATTGATTTCGATATTTCAGTTTGGAAGTTTTTCAGGTTTTGATTCAATTTTTCGAGTTTTCAATTTCCCGATTTTTGAATTTCTCGATTCTTGAAATTTGCGGTTTCTGGATTTCTTCATTTTCCGATTTTTCAATTTTTCACGTTTCCAATTGTTCAGTTTTTCGATTTCTCATTTTCTCGGTTATTTAATTTTTGGTTTTCCCGCTTCTCAATTTCTTGACGACTCAAGGTTTCAATTTTTCAGCATTTCAATTCTCCAGTTTTTCGATTTTGCGATTTTCGGGTTTTTGATTTTTCAGTTCTTCGTTATTTCATTGTTGGGATTTATCAATTTTTGGATTTTTTATTTTCTTTTCCATTTTCCAATTTTTCTATTTTCGATTTTCCGATTTCTTAAATTTCGATTTCGAATGTATAGAATTTTTAAATTTTAGATTTTTCAGTTTTTTAATGTTGAGATTTCTTTATCTTTTGACTTTTCCACTTGTGGCTTTTTTTCATTTTTAAAAATTTTTGATGTTTCGATTTTTCAATTTTTATTTTTCTCGATTTGTCGAAATTTCAATGTTTCGGTTTCTCGATTTTTCAATTTTTCGATTTTTTTTTATTTAAAATTTTTCAGTTTTTCAATTTTTAACTTTTCGTAATTCCGATTTTGAGACCTATTTCGATTTCTCAATTCGCAGTTGATCAGTTTTTCAACTTCTGAATTTTTCAGTTTTTGGTTTTTCAATGTTTGGTTTCGGTTTTTTAATTTCTTTACGTTTTTCAATTTTTTGGTTTTCAATTTTTCGGTTTTTCAACTTCAAATTTTTTAAATTGTCGGTTTTTCAATTTTATATTTTTCAGTTTTTGCTTTTTCAATTTTTTGATGCACCAATTTTTGATTTATATTTTTGCTAGTTCTCAGTTTACATACATACCTACTGATAAATAATAATAAAAAAAAAGTTCACCTTTCTGTTTTTTAGGATTATAGAATTTTTCCAATTTTTAGTTGTTAGATATTAAAACTTTTTCATCAATTCCAATTTTCAATTTTTCGATTATAATCTTTCAATTTTTCGATCTTGCAGTTTTTCCACTTCACAATTTTGTCGATTTTTAAAATTTTTCGGTTTTAGAGTTTTTGGGTTTTCCAATGTTTCGATTCAGTTCGTTTTTTCTTAAAAATTTTTCAGTTTATAATTTTTTTGATTTTTTTATTTGTCGATTCTTTGTTTTTCCATGTTTAAATTTTTCGTTTCTTCAATGGTTAGATTTGCAATTTTCCGATTTTCCTATTTTTCGATTTTTCAAATTTTTCCTATTTTTTAGTGTTTCGATTTTTAGTTGCTCTATTTTTCAATTTGTAAAATCTAAAAATCGAAAATAAAAAACGAAACGGGTAAAACATGAAAACTTTGAAAAATTCAAAAATGGAAAAATTAAAAACTGAGAAACTAAACATCGAAAAAGTGCAAAATAGAAAACACGCAATATCTATTCTAAAATCAAAAAAATATTGCAAATTAAAGAAATCGAAAAATCCGATAAGTGAAAAATATTAAAATTGGAAATTCGAAGAATTAAAAAATCAGAGATTGAAACTTTGAAAAATTGAATAAACGAAAAACTAGAAAATCAAAATAAATAAAATAATTGAAAAAATAAAGGAAATGAAGAAATGAAAAATTGTGACAAAATCGAGAAAATGAAAATTAAAAAGATTGGGGAATTGAAAAATAAAAATCAAGAACTTGAAAATCTGACGACCCGAAAATTTGAAAAATTGAAAAATGAAAAACTGAGACACTGAAAACTCGAAAAATGTAAAATTGTAATTGGAAAAACTGAAAAATAAAAAAAAAATAAAGTTGCAAAAACTATACTTCCAGAAGTAACGCGAAGCGAAGTTATCGAGGTGAATGTTCCTATTTACAGACTTTATTTCCATTTTTAATTTTATCGGTGGGTCTGAACCTAGAAACTCTAGAGTACCTCATGAAAATAAACTCTGAATTTTGCTAAAATATACACGACCCGACAATTATAAATACCCGTTGAGCGATAGTTTATTTATTCAGCCAATTAAATTGATAATTAATTGTGATTTATTTATAGTGGACAAAACGAGGCGCCCAGAATGTGTTCCCAAAACATATCCCAGTACGTTGAAATGCACTGAAAACAAACTGAAATATAGTGTTACATTTGTTTGAAAAAGCTGACTTTTCAAATAAACATGCGGCCAAAAAGTTCACTTTTATTGGTTTCGCAACGTACTTAAATTAAGCA